CTTCACCGAATAGACTACCCCAATTAGATATTAGATATCTATAAGTGTCTTCATAGTACGATGGTCTAAGAGGGTAGCTAAAGGTATGCTCTAGTGGGCGGCTACCCCCTCACTCCCTGGCCTTTTGGTTAAGACTAAGTTTTATGTTCACTCGGGATAGCGTGGAAGAGCCGAAATCTCTAACCGTAACGTAAGCCGATTCGACGCCTCAGCTTCATAGAATGTCTCGGGGGAATCGTCCCATCTTTTTAGGTATTTTTATTTTCATTATTTCTTATGTATGCCGGGGGGTACATCATCTACATTGAAGTGAAAGTCCTGAGTTCGAGCCCTGCTGCTGGAATTTCTCTTTGTTTTTCTTTTTTTTTTCGTCTGTTTCTTGTTTTTGTTTTGTTTTTGTTTGTTTTTTTTTTTCGCTTTCTTTTCTTTTTTTTCTTTGCTGTTTTTTTTTTCTTTATAGATTTTCTCTTTTCAACTTTAAACATATAATGGTCGACTAGGGAACGCAAGGAACGCCTGCTACAAGTGGATGATAATTAATTCGACAATATCTAGCATAGTGACGACAGACCTCAATAAGGCCTTTCGTCACAAAAATTAATTAGAATTCAGTACAAAATATGCGACTATTAAATAAATATACAACAACAAATAAACAAAAAATTGTATTTTTGGAGGATGTCTACACTTTACCTCATTTTTGTATTTTTTCTAGATTTTTCTTTCTTTTCGCCTTGTAATTTTTTTCTATATTGTTGGTTATCTTTTATATATTGTTTTCACTAAAATGATAATACAATATCATCATATCAATGTGAACACAATTATTTCCTTGTGTATTTTGTGGATTATCTTTTTTTCTTGAAATCATATCAATAAGATGTTAAAACTTTGATTACCTCACACCTAACATTCTGCTACGAGCTACAATTATATTGTCATTTYGTATTTGATGAAGTGAAGTTCTAATCGAGGCATATTTGATAAAACACTAGCGCTTGCTCATTAGTATCAGTCCCTGCTTTTAATACATAGCTTGACACCATTTTTAGGCCCTAAAGTAGACTTGAATTCAAGCTCTGGTGGAATGTCAGTTTCAGGGGCAACAGCAAAGCTGAATTTCTTTARAATTCGAACCAGAACCAGTTTCACCTCCAGCAGAGCAAACCTCATCCCGATGCAGTTCCGAGGACCGTGACCAAAAAGAAAATAAGTATACGGATTGCGTGACTGCTTAGCCTCGGTATTGAAGCGTTCTGGGTTAAAGTTCTCGGGGTC